GCTCCTCAAACGATTAACGATAAAGTTATCCGAGCCGCAAATATAACAGATTTTGAGCAAGAATCATGAATACCCCCTAGGTGACAATATGCAGCACAAAAACAAGAGGCACTATCGCTTAGAAGTTCCCTGCTTACAAGATATCAGGCACTATTTCGAGAGGCCCATACTGCAAACACTACCAGAACTGGCAACAGAGGCTCAGAATGAACTAGAGGCCTCTGAGGATCTCAAGAGGATGGGAAACCTCATACCTCACCTCGGTCTGGAGGAGCATATCAATTGTCAGAGTCGGACAAAGATATGTCTCTGTCGACAAAATGATACATTGAAAAATGTTGAATAGGAAGATCTGGACTTACTCAAGACACAAACAGAGATGGCAGTGATACACCAAAAAGTGACAAGCACAAGCAAGCAATGCTAGTCTAGCCAGTGTGCACTGGGCTTTACATGGTAAAGCCCAGTGCACACTGGCTAGACTAGCATTGCTTGCTTGTGCTGCTAAAGGCAGATTGTCAGGAGGCGAAACACGTTTTGGACACTTTGAAATACTTATTTGGACTGCACAGCCGATCCAGAACCTGATCTGGTACATTTTAATTGATTTTATATTCAGTGTATTTTTTATTTTAATAATAGAGCACCTTCTTTTGGAAACAACTTCTTTGACCTGGCATCTTTACATTCTTGAGCCGGTTAAGGGTGGAAAAAGGCAGAATACTGCATAGAAGAAGGATCTGGACATCCTTTAATGGTCCACAGGCATATACCATTGAGTCATATGAGGTTATGACTCCAGACTTGTGAGTGACACTACTCTTGTACATATCCCATATTTGATTTGACCATACTGTATTGCACTATTGTTTTATTATTTTATTTTGCAGAATATCTACTAAGCAGCTACTTAGAAGCTCCATCTTGTGTATGTATGGAGATTAATAGACATAACCAACTCTAAGAAGTCAAAAGCCAGATAGAGGGACTTACTTCTCAAGTCCAACGACGGCCGCGTGGTGCCCTCGCTGGAAATGGGTCACAGGAGCTGGAACATGTGTCTCAGAGGTATCCCAGAAGCCATAAGAGGAGAAGCTGCTACAGTTCATCCAGAATCTCATTGCCTCAATGGGCATAAAGGGAAGCACTTCCAGGTGTGACAATTGGTGAACACTTCCAGGTGTGACAATTGGCTGCAGCAGCCAATGGAGCTTCCAGAGAAACCATCTTTGTAACAAGGGATGTTACGATGTTATAATGAATTGCTCCAGAGCAGTGGGGAACATAGGCTTTGAAGGCTGTAGATGGCAATATTCAGAGACATTCCATTCTTGAAGACCGGTGGAGAAAGGCAGTGGTGTCTCCAGAGGGCCCCCCCCCACATCATGCTGTGCCTCTTTTTGTACCCTCCCCTCCCCTCCCCCCCCAAATGCAGGCACTGTATCAAGGGAAATGTCTTCTTTTTGTAATCCCTGGTGGAAAATGATGAATCTTCCACCAGGGATTATAAAAAAAAAAACACATTGTGGTGGGGCGGGGTCAAATGACGATGGGGCGGGGCTAAAGGTGCCCAGAAGACATTGGTCTGGGTAACTGCAGCACAGGAAGGGGGAAGCAGGAAGGCAGCTCTGCTGGTGGGGTGGCCCCTGTGCTGACCAGCCATGGAGGAAAAACAGTCCCCAGAACGGAAGACCCTTCGGAGCGACAGTTGTGCCTTATTGAGAGACGTGTAGATGGAGACATGACGATTCAATTCCTTCATACAGGCATCCCCGAATAGCAGGCCTTTGGCGTCCAGACCCAGCTCCTTAGAGGCCATCAAGCCTGCAAAGAGCCGTCTTGTGGCGTTTCGAGTTGAGGGCCACATTGGCATTGCCCAGTAGACAAACAGCTCTTTGGGCCCACTCTCAGAGGCAGGGCCGTCTATAATATGAACAGGACCCTGGGCAAAGCATTTTCTTGGGCCCCTAGGTCCTGCCCCCTGCCACCCACCTACCCCCAATCACACATACACACACAGACAGATATATTAAAACATTTGCAGATACATACTGACACACACATACACTGACACACAAATATATACTGGCAGACATATTGACACACATTCAGACATACGGACACACACACATACATACATACATACACACACAGACACATACACTGACAGATATACTGAAACACACACAGACACATACACTGACAGACGTATTGACACACACACACACACACACACAGGCATACTGACACACACGGACATACATACAGACAGGCATACTGACACACTGACATACACACAGACATACTGACATACACACACACAAACATACTGACACACACAGACACACACACACAGACATAGTGACACACACACACACAAACATACTGACATACACACAGACATACTGACATACACAAACAAACATACTGACACACACAGACCTACTGACACACACAGATATACTGACACACACACACACAGACATACTGACACACACACAAACATACTGACACACACAGACATACTGACATATACACACACACAGACACATTTAGCCACCCTCCATGTTCTTACCTTTTTATGGAGGGTGGTTTCCCTGGGGTCCAGTGGCAGGCTGAGGCAGATGGGAGTTATCTTGAAGAACTCCCCTCCTCCTGCTTTCCTCCTCCGCGCGGCTATTATCTCCGGTGGGAGGAAGTGACGCGCGGCACTCACTTCCTCCCAGCCGGTACAGAAAGGGGCCCGGTCACGCTGTTTAACCCCTTAAGGTCCTTCAGGGGTTAAGCGTCACAGCGCCTGACTGGGCCCCTGCTCACACATACTTACCGGGTGGCCCTTAGTGCATGGGCCACCCGGGGGCCTCTTTAGTTGGCGGGCCAGTGCGGCTCTGTGCAACCGCACCGCCGGGTACATAGGGACTGCTCAAATCACAGGGCCCACGGGGCAGCTGCTCTGGGGCCCCCCAGGAGCAACTGGGCCCGGGGCAGCTGCCCCGTTTGCCCCGTGCTAAAGACGGTCACCATAATAACTTCATATAAATGAAAATGCTATGATGCCAGGAAGCCCCTGGGTGCTCTCTTTCCTTTAAGGGGTTAAACCACTCTCAAATGGTTTAACCCCAAAGGCTTCCTCCAGCTCCAGATTTCCAGGTCGCTCAGTGGTATTCGGCTTCTGAAATGGAGTGTCAGGAAGTGAAGATTGACATCAGGCATGGGTGCTACAGATTGGCTAGAGTGGTCAGTTGACACTCTAAGCCAATCGCTAGTTCCCAGTTAATAAAAATGTTTTGCATTTTTATGAATGAGGAGCTGCTGATTGGCTTAGAGTGCCAGCTGACCCCTCTAGCCAATCAGCGACACCCCTCCCCAGCAGCACTCTGTGCTTCCTGACACTCAGTAAATAAAAGTGAACACATTAACACTGATATTTTTTTTTACCTGGGGAGATGAGAAGGTCCAAAGTTTCCCTGCCAAGCCCAGGTACCAAAGCCTTATGATGTGGTGTCCAGAATAAAGTGGAGGGTTCACTTCACTTGTCCTTCCTGCTCCAATCTCCTTTTCTTCTTCTTCATTTGACACAGTCTTCTTTTTCTTCTGACACTGTCTTCTCTCCTCCTTGGCTCCTTCTGCTCCGTTACCTTTCTGCTACTTTCTGCTTATTTTGCTCCCCCTTCTGCTCCTTTCTCTTTCTGGTCCCTTTCTGCTCCTTGCAGACCCTTTCTACTCCTTCTCCTACTTTACCTTTGTGCTCCTTGCTACCCTTTTCTGCTCTTTCTCCTACTTTACCTTTGTGCTTCTTCTGATTATTTCTGCTCCTTTACCTTTGTGCTCCTTCTGTCCATTTCTGCTCTTTGCAGACCCTTTCTTCTCCTTACAGACCCTTCCTACTCCTTGCTGCCCCTTGCAGACCCTTCCTGCTCATTGCTGCCCCTTCCTGCTCATTTCTGTTCCTTCTCCTACTTCACCTTTGTGCTCCTTCTGTCCCTTCCTGCTCCTTGCTGCCATTTTCAGCTCCTTGCTGACCCATTCTGCTCCTTCTACATTACCTTTGTGCTGCTTTACCTTCCAGCTCCTTGCTGACCCGTCCATCTCCTTGCTTACCCTTCCTTCTCCTTGTTGACCCTTTGTGCTCCTTGTAGACCCTTCCTTCTCCTTGTTGACCCTTCTTCCTCCTTGCTGCCCCTTCCTGCTCATTTATGTTCCTTTGTGCTCCTTCTCCTACTTTACCTGTTGTGCTTCTTGCTGTCCCTTCCAGCTCCTTGCTGCCCCTTTCTGCTCACTTCTATTCCTTCTCCTTTCTGCTCCTTCTCTTACTTTACCTTCCTGCTCCTTGCTGACCCTTCCTGTAGGCTGTCTCCACCCCCATCCCTGATCTGTAGGTGGATCCCCCCATGCTTCACTTCCCTGATCTGTAGGCTGATCTGTCTCTGCCTCCCCATGCTTCACTTCCCTGATCTGTAGGCTATCTGTGCCTCCCCATGCTTCACTTCCCTGATCTGTAGGCTATCTGTGCCTCACTTCCCTGATCTGTAGGCTATCTCTGCCTCCCCATGCCTCACTTCCCTGATCTGTAGGCTATCTCTGCCTCCCCATGCCTCACTTCCCTGATCTGTAGGCTATCTCTGCCTCCCCATGCCTCACTTCCCTGATCTGTAGGCTATCTCTGCCTCCCCATGCCTCACTTCCCTGATCTGTAGGCTATCTCTGCCTCCCCATGCCTCACTTCCCTGATCTGTAGGCTATCTCTGCCTCCCCATGCCTCACTTCCCTGATGCTGTAGGGCCTCCCCATGCCTCACTTCCCTGATCTGTAGGCTATCTCTCCCTCCCCATGCCTCACTTCCCTGATCTGTAGGCTCTCTCCCCCCCCATGCCTCACCCTGATCTGTAGGCTCTGCTCCCCCTCCATGCTGGCTTGCAGGTTGCAGCTTCCTATCCCAGTCTCTCTCCAGACACAGTGTCTACTGGCCGGCGGTGGTATTGCACTATATTTTCAATCTCTCACGAAAAATAGCGAACAAGCTGAAAAATCCTTGCCCTCCCCCGTGGACGCCCATGCTCACCGGGGTCGTCAGCATTGAAAACAAGAGCTCTATGCGAGTCGACCATGGGGGAGCCCAACAACGTCTCCTTCACATACAGTGAATGATCGTCAAGAACACCTTCGCTGAGTGACACGGCACCCGAGCTGCCAGACCGGAATTTGTCTAGAATGTCGTAGCCTGGTGCTCCAGAGAATGCGTCCTCATTCGGGCGATGGCCTGATCCGGAGCCCAGTCTGACCAATTTGGCAGGCATTTTTCCTTTATCCAAGGCTTCTTGCATGCTGAGCCCATGTCCGCAGAGCATAGGGAGCCACCTAAGTCAAAGTCCCATGTGCCAGAGGGTTCGGGTGTAGGACCCAGTGGGGCTGGTAAAGCATCCCCATGGATGGCAGTGAGAGCCTTAGGAATCTGCCAAAGTGGCACACAGCCAGGCCTGGAGCCCCTAAGGGGTATGGAAGCCAGGTTTGTCAGACATAACTGATGTCACTGAAACAGAGGTAAGGCACAGTCAGTATGATACCTAGATAAGGCCAGCTGGGGGTCACTCAGCATGCAAGAGGGGGTCACCCAACAAGCACTAGCATAGTATGCAAATTAGGCCCTCAGGGGGAAGGAGTCACCCTCAGCTTAAGAGTCACAGGATGCAGGAGGCCCACCAGGCTAGTCAGACGGAGGGGGTCACCCAACCCACAGAAGTGCCACTTGCACAGCAGTTTGGCCCAGTAGAGGGCAGTATAAGTAGGGTCAGTGCCCCAGTAATGCAGAGAGGGGGGTCACTCCATGTATCAATAGGCCAGAGGCCTTTAACTTTGTGGGGTTCCAGGTAGGCCAACTAAAGTATCAGTCTTGTATTACCACATGTGCCAGTATAACATGTATAGTGTTTCCTGTAAAAACTGATCAAATAAACCATATAGGGGAGACAGAGGGGGAGGGAAGGCTGGCCACAAAGCCAGCAGACAGGGCAGCAGGGTGAGTGAAAACCGGGCTGACCGGAATGCATGGAGCCCAGGCGACTCCAACAAAATGGCTGCTGCGGGCACGAAGATTGAGCGCAGCCTACTCGTGGAGCCATGGAGGTTCGCGACAGTGCCACAACGAGACCACTCAAGTGCTGCGGGTGAGCGACCGAGGGCCATGGGAAGCAGCAGGGGAGAGATGATGGGGGCGGCAGAGCCCAGGAGGGAGCTGCGGAAGTGCACAGTGCAAGGGCCGGCTGGGAGAGAGCCCCAGGGGAAGACCAAGGAGGGGAGTGATTGAGCCAGGGAAACCCAAACCCCAGACAGGGAGCAGAGGCCCATACTCCATAGTCAGCCCAGCAAAACCCACAGACACAGAGGTATCAATACAAAAATATGTAAATACAAAGAATCAAACAACAACCCAGAGCAGACAACTCTCTGAGTTGGACAGTGCTCTCCTGTTGGCAGCAGCAAAGAAAGAGGAAGTGGGAGGGCCTGCCTGAGGGTTCTTATACTGCTGTGTTTTTATATATACCTCTGCCATAGGACCAGGTTTACGCTGAATGGGGAGTGTCCAGATATATTCTTCTTCCCATTTCCCCATGAATAAGTTGGCGTAACTAGGCGCAAACCTGGTTCCCATGGCAGTGCCCTCTACCTGGAGATAAAAATGACCAAGGACCCAAAAAATGTTGTGACTTAGGATGAAAGCGATGCATTGAACAAAGAAATGAATCTGGTCATTCTTCCGAATATGTTGTTAGTGCGTATTAAATTGCTTCGCAACCTTGCAGATGCTCAATCGCTGAGTACAGTGATGTGACATCTGCTGGAACTGTAAAGTATTCCTGTTCCCAGGTGATGGTGGACAAAACCCTGATGATTTGTGTAGTATCTCTCAGATATGACCTCAGTTTCATAGCTACTTGTTGCAAAAAGTTATCCACATATTCAGAAAATTGGATATTAATGAACTGATTCCCGAAATGAGGGGTCTCCCTGGGGGGTTGGTAACATTTTTGTGAATCTTCGGTAGGTGGTAAAACCTGGGATACTTACAGTATATATAATCAAATTCTCTTTTGCTCAGAATTCCTCTTTCTTGACCTACATTCAGCAATTCACAAAACTCATCCATAAATCCAATACTAGGATTCTCATCCAACTTGAGGTAGGTATTTGTGTCACTGAAATGTCTTGCACTTTCTTGTTCGTAATCAGAAGTATTCATTATTATCAAATCCCCTCCTTTATCTGTCGCTCTAATTGTGATTGTTGGATTCTCACCAAATCAAGCACATACATTGGAAGATTCTCCAAAACGATCCAGTAATAGAACCCATCATAGGGACCATACCTCAAGTAATATATTTCTGGACACCTAACCTGAAAATGGTACTAGCTCCGACAATGAGAAAAACAATTAGTAACAAGGGAGACTCAGAGAATCCTGGCTTTTTCAGATGTGGGAAATGCATGGGATGCAAAAATCATCCACTACTTATCTATTCATGTGTCCCTGCAATAAACAGTATATAGGCAGAACGAATAGGATCTTGAAGACTCATCTGGGGGAACACATAAGGAATATAAAAAAAAAAGGCCTGCCCACGCACAACCTCTCCAGACACTTCTGCACACACCACTCAAAAAATCCTGAAGGGCTAAGATTTATGGCAATTGAACAAATCAAACCACACTGGAGGGGAGGAGATCTGGAAAAGGCGCTGGATAGAGCACAAGCCAAATGGATCTTTACGCTCGCTAGATACTTTAGAACCAAAAGGTCTCAATATAGACTTTGAACTGAATGCTTTTTTGTAAATATCCCAATTACACCACTCTTCCATTGGCCCCGCAACAGTTGTTGATTTCTTCAATTCATTTCATTTTTAGGCTTGAAGATGTCCAAGTATATTTTATCTATGTAACTCATTTACTTTTAGATAAATTTTGTGATATTTTTCCATGCAATATTTACATAGAATCATCTCCTCTTATTGATTTTGTATTTATATATATATATATATATATATATATATATATATATAGTTTTATTTTTTTATTTCACTTATTATATTTTTATTTCCATTGCCATTTTTATTTTCATTCCTATTTTTTATTTGTACTTTTTATCTATTTATTTTTATTTTTTTCATTTTGATTTTATATATCTATCTTCATTTTTATTTTATTTTTTATTTAGATTTATATTTTTTATGATTGGTTTATTTTTATATATATATATATATATATATATATATATATATATTTTTTTTTTTTTTAATTGTTTTTCCATATTTGATTTTTAGTTTCGATTTTTATCATTTTAGGCTTTCTGAAGAGGTTTGCTCAGATCACACTAATAGGATTATGGGTTATCATACTATAAGTATATTTATATTCATACCACTATTAATAGTTCAGTAGTAACACATTCTACATGTAGATAAACCTGTCCAAATGCTCTTTCAGAACTCCAGAGAGCTGAATTAACAACATATGCCCAATCAGACGATCAACACTGCTCCTAGTAACTTGTTTTCTCCTAAAATGAATTTCCCCATTGGTTCTGATATCCTTACAGACAGTGTATTACCGATCTGATGATATCTTTTCCACAAAATTAGTGATTCACCCAATGGCAGACAGAGAACAGTCATTGTATAAACATTTTTTCTGTGTGGTCTGTCTCCCTTTGATACCAAAGTAAATTATGTTGTATCCATATCATATGTATCCTTTCATAATAATTTTTGACACAATGCATCTTCCTTGCATAATATGTTTCCAGTGCCTTAAGACACCTTATTTATCTAATTTTTCTAGTTATTCAGATAGGTCACCGGGCGCTTGCAAAATTCAAGCAATGAACATTTTTAAAGTAGTGTACCACAACGGCATTTTATAAGAGTACAACTTATCACACAAATATGTAAAAATGTCAATGATCTGCAGTGATGTATTTCAACAAGTTTAAGGATCCTAATGATTTTTACTGTTTTTAAGTATTATATGTACTTTTCTGTCCGTTCTTATGATGTTATTTTTCTATCGACACAACTTTGAAGTAATATACTAATATAAATACTTGTTTTTATCATACTGCAATGTCTTAATATGATGGTGTTCTATTTAAATTGTTGTATATAGATTCATGTCTGTTTTATTTTTATGAAGCATGATATTGATATTAGATGTGAAAATATGGACTGCCAGGTGAGATATAGTAAATTGAAAGTATTGATAGTAATGTAATGGTTAAAAGCCTAATACAAGAAATGACCAGCAGCTGTATAACCATACCAAATCCCCTTGATGCTTACCTCTGATGAAGTGGACGGTTGTTTCACGAAACACGTAAGGCAGCATTTCACAAGACAGGAACAACTAAGTGGAACGCAAACCGAGTCTGCGGTGGAACGCACACCAACATCTAACAGTGGCTGCATACACATTCCATGGAACCCGACCTTCTCCGTAGCCGGCAGTTGGGAGTAATGAGGAGATTCTAATGCAGACTTAGACCAACTTCCTTGCGGGGAATCACTTTTGCATATATTCCTGTGAGGGTATTTTATTTTAATAATAAAATTATTCGCAGAGAGCACTATGTCTCGGTCTTCTGTATTCTAGATCCACGGGATCATCCATCATCACATCATAAGTTATATCATGACATTTACCTATTTTATTATCTGTATATATATTTTATCCATCAAAAAGACAGTATTATACTATATTATTCTTCAGCTACTTGGAATCTCGTGACTTTTTCTCCATAGCAGGAGTATTCCAAACTACATTACTGTAAGCTGAGACACTTTGGAATATATAAGGACAGTACCTTTTATTTCAAATATATGGACTAACATTCACAGACTTATATATGTTAAGTATATTTATTTTAGCATCTATCACTGCTCCAGATATTCCAGTTTTTGGTTTGATTTATTATCTATTTTCCACTGTTTAGTGAATCTCCTTGCTATATTCACGTCAACCATCTCCTGGTGGAAAGTTTGTGTATTTATGAGCTGCTTTCACTATTTTTATTCATGATATGTAATTTGCCTGTTATCACCTCTATAGAAAAAGTATAAGGTTTGACAATTTATACCAAAGATTTATAAAAGATTTTTTTTTCTTCATTATCTCCTATGTCATCATAAAACATTATCATCCCATTATATGAAATGATAAGGCACTGCATGCATTTTACAATTACAGTTATTTAACATATTGTGTTAAAGAAAGCACTGTAGAATAGGAAACAAGACAAATAATTCATTCTAACAAAACATGGGCCCTGCCCAAA